CTTATTAATTAACGCAGAGTAAATAATACCTGTGGGAGCAAACGGCTGTGCATATCTCTCTATCAGTGTTATAGAGGGTGGACAATTTATGAGTTTACCCTATATAAACTTTATACAGAGTAAAATGGATTCATTTGGGGTTTAGGCTCCCAGAAAGACTGAATACTGAGTGTTGGGAAATTCCCTGTTAACTGAGAAGCCCTTGGGATAAGTGAATCTTCGTCTCTGTGAACTGCAGGGTGCGTGGCCCAACCTCTTGGTCTGCGCTGTAGCGGACTGGTGTGTCTATCTCAGCAAGATGGGAGTGGAGGGAAGGCTTCTCTGGCAGGGGAGTTTATTCTCAGTGGTATCCCAGCACATCTAGTGACAATCTTGAGGGAATTTCTGTGACCAAACCCATCACAAGAGGTTCTATAAAAGTGCAAGGAAGTAGCTATAGGCAGCAAATCTACAGGACTTTTTATCTTTAAAGGAGTTAAGTATTTGTAAACTTTCCTGAAAAAATATTAAAATAGTAATGTAATGGGTTAAAGACTCCGCTTTTAGCTATACTAGAGTATATTAAATAAGAGTTTGTGCTTAAAGAGAAGTCAAAGTTTCCATATGCACTGAAACAATCCCAAAAGACTTTATTTTTGAATTTCTATAGACAATCCAAAATACCGTAATATCTTTAACATACCATATCAGCAAGTGGCTTTAAAAAAAACACAAAAGTCAATAGCTTGATGGGGAAACAGGAAGAAAGTGGTTAAGGAAAGTTCTTAACTCGATTAAAAAAAAACAGAAGCTACACATCAAAGATAATACACAATCAAAGTCAACTAGCTTTAAATCTGACACATTTCCTTCCTGAAGCCATTGCAGGAGCTTTTGTGGATGTTCAAAACAAGCAACAATCTCCTAGCTTCATTACTAAAGAGACCTTAATCTTTCAGAACATCAAGGATGGGAAAAGCAGCTTGCTTTTTGCTTTTAATGCTAACCATTCCTCTTCTAAAGTTATTATAAACTGACCTCTCAGAGTAGTTATTGTGTTATAATTTGCAATACAGTCGAGGGTCCCCCTGTCCCAAAACCACTGACTGGTATAATTTACTCGGCAGGTGAGAGCTGGGTGGGTGTTACACTGTGAAAAAAGGTTATTTAACGGTAGGTAAGACAATACAACTGGTTGTTTTTTTTAAACAAAAAAACACGTAACAGGGATTTTATGTAAACCAGAACAAATAGAACTGGATTCCATCTACCTACAATAACATTAAATATATTAATAATATATATCATAAAAATGATTTGAATACACACACAATAACTTACTACTAAGTTTACTTAACTATATATAACCCGGTCCCTCAATATATATGTGTATGCACAGGCTATTATCTTATAGATTATTATTATTAGTTCCAGGTTCCCCTTTTCCCAATCTTTCACTAGGTGCTGTCTAATGCCCAAATGAGTCTTTGAACCTCAAGCGCCTCTCAGAACTTCCTGTGGAGATGGATTTGACTCAGTGGTGTTTGCTTACAGAGGTACACAGTAGACCGAACCCATGGGATCTGAAGGACCTTTGGTTCTCCTGTTCTGGATCTCTGGGACAGTATGAAGCAGTGATAGGAGATGGCTGGATCTGATGCTCAAGGAACATGCCATCAAATATGGACTGACTTGACCAGACAGCTCTAAAACTGAAGGGCCCCTCTCCTGCATGTCTCTGTCTGTCCTGCCCAGTCTAAGCCTCTCCATCCACTCTTGGTTTCTCTCAGTCCCGGTTTCCCTCTGTCTATCCCCTCCCCTTGTTCTCTTTCTCTCAGCTACTCCCAGACTGTTTCTCTGTGTTTCTCTCAGGTTCCCCCTGCTTGCCTCTGTCCCTCAACTGTCCCCATTCTTCTCCAACTCACTTCCCCTCCTCCTGAGGGGAGGAGCCACCTCCCACTTTCCCAGAGGGAGGGGCTACCTCCTTTCCACAGAACAATGACATTGTATTTGCCCTGAACACACCCTAAATCATATATCCCCAGCTAGAGTCAAGTCCAGTCTCTTTACCATATTTACATTCTATTCAAAGAAAGATTCCTGGGGGAAATATCTTCTCACTTGTATACACAGTATTGTTATATGTAAAGGTTTACCAGCTCGCTATGAAGTTCTCCTATGAAAGAACAAATATGGTTATGAGATTAGATAACATTTGAGCTGTACTGTGGATATGAAAACATTCAATAAAAGCACTATGTAATGGTAATAATTTTAATGCCATTGTAACCAGGACATTAGGCAGAATTCCCAAATTTGTTTCCTGGTTTTTTAATGAGTCTTAAGTGTGGAAACATGGTGCAAAAGGGTTGATTTGTCAAGTATTCAGAGGCTTTGCTCTGTAATGGGGAACAGACTCAGGGCCCAATCCTGCCCTCTTCTCCATGGCTCTAATTCCCATTGACTACACAAGAATGACAACATCATGATCATGTTGGTCCAAATGTATGCGGTGGGAACCAGTGTTATGCATTCTGGAAATCCTCAGTTAGATTGTTACAATTCCTACCCATCACGCTGTAGGAATAGAAGTCCCTGGCAGTGGAGCTGCCACAGGTTCCCCTGTGCTGAGGGCAGGGGGATGTGGAGAGCCCATGAATGGGATAATCACCTCATGTGCCAGTAAGCCCAGCTGCCACACACAAGCTTGGGGTTTGAGCAGGCATATTAATTGTTAATCACTAAGCACATCCACTGGCCATCCCCACTGTATACAAGACTTTATTTATGGCAACTTATTTTAAAAAGCACCTATTATGGGCTCTAGGTGCTAATATTTTATTGGGAGTATGTCCTCCACTTTGATCAATCACAGTGGGGTTTAAAATTGGTCTCTTTTCATTGCCTTCAATAGACTTTGGATCAAGTTCCTACTGCGCTTCAGTAATTACACTTTATAAAATAAATCTTCTCCTGGACCAACATCCTCATCCCTCACTGTTTGGGTCTCAACATGTTTCCCTGGCAAATGCTGGCAAGTTGCAAACTAAGGATCACTGTAACACAGTAGGAAACAGTATCCACATTCACCTGGAATTATCTTCTCTATCAGCTGAGTGCCTAGAAAAGGAATATAACAGCACACTAAACATTCAAACTCCAACAAAATCATTTCAAAACAAAACATGTACACTCCATATTCCAAACTTGAAAATTCCTGGAGCCTGATGCTGTAGATTGCTGATTTCACTTGGACTTGACTATTCATGGGCCCCATGACTGATCCCTAGCCCACTGGTTCCCAAACTTTTTACTAAGGCAACCTCCCCCCCCCCATCTGCATTTTGTCTTTTATTGTGGCCCAGCCATGGTCTAAATTCATGGTGGTGGCACAAAATCATAGGGATCAGCGTCCTTTGCCTACTCTTGCCCCTTGCCCTGTCAAGGGAGCATCCACCACGCACAACAGCACCTTGTGCCTCAGCACTGCAAACCTAATCCCAGCCCAGCACTGAGGAGAGGCCCCTGTATGTGGGGAAGAGGGGAGGGGGGGGAGAAAGTGAGCTCATCCCACAGCAGCATTCACTCAAATGTGGCCTGTTTGCCCCTTCATCATCACAGAGGAGCAGTAGTGTAACCTTGTGCTTCAGGTTGTAGTACCTGGAGTGGGGAGCAGGACCCAGACTTCAGGACTGGAGCCACTGCTGTGGAGTGAATGTAGGGCAGTGTTATTCTACAACTCCCCTCCCCTCCCAGTTCTCTCCTCCTCACTGCGCCTGTGACCTGCTGCCTAGTGCCTTCTGCAATCCACTGGTAGGTTAGGACCAACCTTTTTGGAAACACTGCCCTAGACCAGGGGTAGGAGTGCTTGGTTCCCATCTCCCACTCAGGGAGCACAAGCACAGTCCCCAGTCTCTAACTTCAATCTACACAATAATACCCCCATCAGGCTCCCTTCACAATCTTCTCCTCCCCGCCCAGTAGCTCCAACAATGGCTTAGGGTCTCCCCCAAAAGACTGCAGCTACTGTGAACTCCACCCTCTGCCTCCCTGCGTGTGCTTATTGCCACTGCTCCAATGGCCCTGGCTGGGCATCGGAGAGAGGGGTCACCACCACAAGGGTAGTTAAGCTCTAGAACCAGGGCCGGTGCTACCATTAAGGGAAACTAGGCAGTTGCCTAGGGTGCCAAGATTTGAGGGCACCAAAAAGCAGTGCCCCCAATTTTTTTTACAGTGTTCCTACGCCCTCTCCCCGAGCGCGCGGGCGCCGCTCCACTTCTCCCGCCTCCCAGGCTTGCGGCACCACTCAGCTGTTTGGCACCGCAAGCCTGGGAGGGGAGGAGAATTAGAGCGGGGGTGGTGTGCTCGGGCAGGAGGCGGAGCAGAGGTGAGCTGGGGTGGGGAGCTGCAGCACGGCTCCCCGGGCGAGAGGGGTGGGGAGCTGCCACAGGGCTCCCCACCCCAGCTCACCTCTGCTACGCCCCCTCCCCGAGCACGCCGTCGCTGCTCCACTTCTCCTGCCTCCCAGGCTTGCGGCGCCAATCAGTTGTTTGGCGCCACAACCCTGGGAGGGGAGGAGAATTAGAGTGGGGAAGGCGTGCTCGGGGAGGAGGCAGAGCAGAGGTGAGCTGGGGTGGGGAGCTGCCGCACGACTCCCCGGGGGGGAGTTGCCGCAGGGAGGTGCCTCAGGAGGGCTGAGAGCTGCCGCAGGGCTGGGCGAGGGGCGCAAGGTGGAAGTTTCATCTAGGGCACGAAACTTCCTTGCACCGGCCCTGTCTAGAACAAGCTTCCACCAGAGGTTGTGGAATCGCCATCACTGGCGTTTTTAAGAGCAGGTTGGCCAAACCCCCTGGCGCAAGGCTGGTGGAGGTTTAGCTGATTCTGTTGATGACTTCTCCAGGTCCCGGCCACCCCTACACGTCTAGGAGTCTCTGACTAGAAACAGGACAGCCCAAAGTCCTGTACCCAAACACCCCCGTGCTCCATGCTCTGACCTTTTGCGCTCCTGGGACCTGAAGACGCGCACAAGTATGAGGAAGTTGGGCGCCTGTTTTCCCAGCATGGGGCCCCGGGGAGGAGAGAAACTAAGCAAACTATCTTTCCAGTCTGGGTGCCAGCGCCGTTGACCCCGGCCAGCAGGAGTCCAGCTAGCTAGGGAAAGGCGTGTGATCGGCCTCATCCCGCCCCGGGTGGAGGGGGCGTGCGGGGCCAGCCACCCCCAGGAGAGCGGCAGAGGGGCCCTGCGGTGCGGCTACACCCTGTTCTCATCGGACCCAACCGGCTCTGCGGGCCCGCCCAGCGCCGCGGGCGCCAGGCAGGGCAGTGCTGTGTGCGCTGTTCCGCACCAGCAGTCCCCTCCCTGTGGGCGGCTGCTCCTCCGCCAGGCCCGTCTCACGTCCCAGGGCGGAGCCTGGGGGGACCCCGCCAGCCGCAGCTGCCCCCCAGGGAAACTGGGGGAGCAGCCACGAGCCCCCAGAGCGGCACGGGACAGCGCCGACCGGGGAGCTGTGAGGCAGCCCCGTCCGGGGCTGGGGGGAAGGAGGCTGGGGCGCAGCAAGCCACTTCCCTTGGGCTGCCAGGCGAGGAGGCAGCGTCTGCAGGTGGGTTTGGCTCCTCCGAGCTCAGCGAGCTTGGGCTTCCCCCCATCCCTAGAGCTCCCACCACCGGCACAAACCGCCCGCCCCAGCCTTGGGTAGCCTGTCTGCATTGCCCGCCCCGGCCGGTTGCGGGAGACACTCTCCCGCCCCCCTCGGTCCGACCCCACCTCATCCGCGCGGGGAGAGACCCTGGCTCGCCCCTCGGCCCGACTCACCCTCCAGGTGAGAGACCCCCTCGGCCCGACTCACCCGCGACCCCACCTCACCCGCCAGGGGAGAGACCCCCTCGGCCCGACTCACCCGCGACCCCACCCCACCCCACCCACCCGGGGAGAGACCCCGAGACCTCGCTCCGAGACCCCACCTCACCCGCCAGGGGAGAGACCCCCTCGCCCCGACTCACCCGCTGGGAGGGAGTCGCCCCGAGACCCCCATCTCACCCACCAGGGGAGAGACCCCACCCACCCCGAGACCTGGGATTTCTAAGAGAAGCGATGTGTTTAACAGTCAGAGCAGAGTATGCAATGGAACGCCAGGGTTTTACTCCCAGTTCTAGTGTTGATTTTCTGTGGCCAGTCACTTGCTGGCACGAATACTGTTTCTTCCCTAAACACCACTCTCTGACCCATTGCTCTCACCACAAGACCAAGAAAAAGAAAAGATTAAGTTTTCTACTCAGTGCAACCCTCATCCCTTGTCTCTAATATATTTTAAAAAACAACTTTGTTTTGGTGGCAGTTATAATACAGTAAGGTTTGTTTTAAAGTGTTTGGAGAGCACAAGGGGGGAGGACTCCTGCCTCATACTGAGAAAGCAGGATGATCAGCGAGTTATCTTAAGTGCCTATACACAAATGCAAGAAGCCTGGGAAACAAGTAGGGAGAACTGGAAGTCCTGGCACAGTCAAGGAATTATGATGTGATTGGAATAACAGAGACTTGGTGGGTTAACTCACATGACTAATATCAGAGGGGTAGCCATGTTAGTCTGGAGCTGTAAAAAGCAAAAGAGTGTCCTGGGGCACCTTATAGACTAACAGACGTATTGGAGCATAAGCTTTCCTGGGTGAATACCCACTTCGTCATACGTCTGTTAGTCTATAAGGTGTCACAGGACTCTTTCTCGCTTTTCACATGACTGGAGTAGTGTTATGGATGGATATAAACTGTTCAGGAAGGACAGGCAGGGCAGAAAAGGTGGGGGAGTTGCATTGTATGTAAGAGAGCAGTATGACTGCTCAGAGCTCCTGTATGAAACTGCAGAAAAACCTGAGAGTCTCTGGATTAAGTTTAGAAGTGTGAGCAATAAGAGTGATGGCATGGTGGGAGTCTGCTATAGACCACCAGATCAGGGGAATGAGATAGACGAGGCTTTCTTCAGGCAACTAACAAAAGTTACTAGATCACAGGCCCTGGTTCTCATGGGGGACTTCAATCACCATATCTGCTGGGAGAGCAATACAGCAGTGCATAGACAATCCAGGAAGTTTTTGGAAAGTGTAGGGGACAATTTCCTGGTGCAAGTGCTGGAGGAACCAACTGGGGGCAGAGCACTTCTTGACCTGCTGCTCACAAACAGGGAAGAATTAGTAGGGGAAGCAAAAGTGGATGGGAACCTGGGAAGCAGTGACCATGAGATGGTAGAGTTCAGGATCCTGACACAAGGAAGAAAGGAGAGCAGCAGAATACAGAACCTGGACTTCAGAAAAGCAGACTCCCTCAGAGAACTGATGGGCAGGATCCCCTGGGAGAATAACATGAGGGGGAAAGAAGTCCAGGAGAGCTGGCTGTATTTTAAAGAATCCTTATTGCAGGAACAAACCATCCCGATGTGTAGAAAGAATAGTAAATATGGCAGGCGACCAGCTTGGCTTAACAGTGAAATCCTTGTTGATCTTAAACACAAAAAAGAAGCTTAGAAGAAGAGATTGGACAAATGACCAGGGAGGAGTATAAAAATATTGCTCAGGCATGCAGGAGAGAAATCAGGAAGGCCAAATCACACTTGGAGTTGCAGCTAGCAAGGGATGTTAGCAACAAGAAGGTGGTCAAGGAAAGTGTGGGCTAGTGACAGAGGATGTGGAAAAAGCTAATGTACTCAATGCTTTTTTTGCCTCGGTCTTCACAAACAAGGTCAGCTCCCAGACTACTGCACTGGGCAGCACAGTATGAGGAGGAGGTGACCAGCCCTCTGTGGAGAAAGAAGTGGTTCAGGACTATTTAAAAAAGCTGGACGAGCACAAGTCCATGGGACTGGATGCCTGCATCCGAGGGTGCTAAAGGAGTTGGCAGATGTGATTGCAGAGCCATTGGCCATTATCTTTGAAAACTCATGGCGATTGGGGGAGGTCCCAGATGACTGGAAAAAGGCTAACATAGTGCCCATCTTTTTAAAAAAGGGAAGGAGGAGGATCCGGGGAACTACAGGCCAGTCAGCCTCACCTTAGTCCCTGGAAAAATCATGGAGCAGGTCCTCAAGGAATCAATTTTGAAGCACTTAGAAGAGAGGAAAGTGATCAGGAACAGTCAGCATATATTCACCAAGGGCAAGTCATGCCTGACTAACCTAATTGCCTTCTGTGACGAGATAACTGGCTCTGTGGATGAGGGGAAAGCAGTGGACATGTTAGTCCTTGATGTTAGCAAAGTTTTTGATACAGACTCCCAGGGTATTCTTACCAGCAAGTTAAAGTAGTATGGGCTGGATGAATGGACTATAAGGGCTGGTCTACACTTAGTCCGGACTTCGGACTAAGGTACGCAAATTCAGCTACGTTAATAACGTAGCTGAATTCGAAGTACCTTAGTCCGGACTTACCGCGGTCCAGACGCGGCCGGAAGTCTCCCCCCGTCGACGCCGCGTACTCCTCTCGGAGAGCTGGAGTACCGGCGTCGATTGTGAGCACTTCCGGGATCGATCCGGATCGATTTA